TCCACGATCAGCGTACATAACCAAAAGTAATGAAATTTTTCAGAATCAAACTTTATCATATTAGCTTTCAAATTTTACTAGTTTCATCCAAAAAGGATATGTATAGCTCAAGTTATGACAGTTTAAAGTAAGCATGTTTAGAATAGAATTTCAAACAGAACAGACAACTTTAAAATTTCATTGGGAATAAGGCGATGAATGAAAGATCATGAAAATTTCTAGATTTGAAATTCAACATCTTATATTTCATTTTCAACTGGTTGGATTCAAAAATGAATTTTCTATCTTGACTTATGATCAAAATAGTTCAGCAATATCAAGAATTTAGCAAGTTAGCACCAAATATGTTTGAATCAATGTGCTCCTAATGTAGTGATCAAGTGTACCAAACAATTTCATCATAATATTATGTACACATGAACAAATATCATTCATCCAAGGTGTGCAAAAGGAACTGATACGAACCAACAGAGATATAACAAGGATTTAGTAAAAGAAGAACAAACCCAGCTTTATATATAAAATGCTTCCAGAAATGTATTACAGAAAGATAACTACAAATACCCAAGCAACTCCAAACTTACTACTGAGGCAAATTGGATAACAATTCCAATTAAACTCCTCTTACAACAATAAACTCAGCGATAAGGGAAATCAGCAATGCAAAATAAGAAAGATAGTTGTGAAGCAGTTGGAGAGGCTCCACTCTCTCCCAAGGAATCAATTCCACTCTCTAAATTTTGGATATCCATTCCCTTTCTTCCTCCACGTTATTTATCCATGCTTCACCCACGTTCTCTTGCGTTCCCATAATCGGTTGTAACAAACTTGCTGAGTCAGCAACACTTTTGCTACTTGGGCTATCAACATTGGAAACCTTGCTACTTGGGCTTGGGTCAGCAGCCCAAATTCTTCTATGCTTGTCTCTTTTGTATACCTGTATGGCCGTATGTTTGGTACTCCACTCCCTGGTTTTAGATTGATGGCATGGTCTTGTTCTCTCCTCGGTGGTAGCCCCTGTTGCTTCTGGAACAAGACAGCAAACTCAACCAGCAACTCCTCTAGCTCAACCCACTGAGTTTCAACCCCTATTCTACAATCTTCAGCAGACTTCAAGTAAAAGCCCTGACCATGATCCTGGAGGGCCTTGACAATGGATTTCAGTGAGGCCACTGAGCGAGACAAGGATGGATCACCTTTAATTACAACCTCTCGATCCTCTCACATAAACTTCAGTGTCAAATCCTTGAAGTTAGCCTTGATCTCACCCAACTGAGTGAGCCACGTCAAACCCAGAACTACGTCAGCTCCCCCCAAATCGAAGATGTAGAGATCTTGGGCCACTACCGTCCCTTGAAGCAGAATACTCACCCCCTTACACACACCCTGGCAAGAAACCTTGTGACCGTCACCTACTTCAACATTGTAGGTTTGGGTCTCTGTCACAGGGAGCCCTAAACTCTCAGCCATTTCCCTCCGAATGAAATTAGTCGAAGCCCCACAGTCTACCATCACGGTGACCTTCGTCCCTAGGACCTCCCCCCATACCTTAAGCGTTTGACTGGAGGTCAACCCCAACAGGCTATGCATCGAGAGCTGAAGAAGAGTACTATTTTCTTCCTCTGGTGGCTCCTCCACTACGGGCTTGTCTGTGACTGCTACGTGACTCTCCCTCCCTTCGTCGTCTTCGTCGTCAACTATCAGGACATGGAGCTGCCTGAACTGACAGCGGTGACTTGGATTCCACCGCTCATTACACTTGAAGCATAAGCCCTTCGCGTGTCTCTCCCCCATCTCCGCCTGTGAGAGCCGTCGGTTGTTACTTGCCTGGCTCTCCGCCGCTTGACCCCCATCGATGATCGGATTGACGGTGGAAGGAGCTTTCCCTACGTTTTCTTCGTTTTGTGCCCTAGCTTGTTGAGGTCCGGTTGTGTTTTGATTAAGTGAACCGGTATGGGTATTTGCCCGACCTGGATTTGCTGTGTTCCAAGAACCCGATCCGCCCCAACTCCTGTAATTATTTGAATTGGTCCAACCACGTTGGGCTGGGCTACTCCTATTCGGCCCAACTGACCCAAACCGTCCTCCAGCCACCACTCCTTCGTCCTTCCAAGCTTCGTTTTGCTTCTCAATTTTCAGAGCGAATTTCATCATCTCTGGTAATCCAATGTTAGGGCTCATCATCAACTCTTCACGGATGCTGCTACGGACCCCGTTGAGCCATGCTCCCTTCAACAACTCCTCATCCTCAAAACGTAATGCTCCGATTACCTTCTCAAATTCACTCCTAAACTCAGCCGCCGTTCCGATTTGCTTAAGCGTGTACAGCGCTCGATAGGGATTATCCAGAGCTTCAGGCTGAAAACGACTCAGCAACTCCCTCCTGAAATATTCCCAAGTAGCGTTTGGGTTATTTATCTCCCACCACAGATACCATTGGAGCGCTTCACCTTCTAACGTCACCATTACTGCCGCCAGCTTGTCCTCTTCCACCATCCCATTGACGATGAAATATCTCTCCACCTTGTTTATCCACCCATACGCGTCATCACCGTGGAAAAGCGGAATCTCCAACCGCCTGGCCATAGGAGCAATTGGATTGAACCTCCTCCCCTGTGTCCCTGTTTGCTCCCGGTTAGATCCATCGTTCTCTTCATTCGAGCCGCTTCTCCGACGTCTTGCCAATTCGTCCAGCTGCCTGATGATCTCCGTCATTCCTCTCTCATTGTTACCTAACCTTTGAAGGATCTGCTCGTGACGAGCTTCACTAGCATCAAGTCTGATGCAAACCTCCTCCTGTCTAGCACAACCCCTGCGCAGCGATTCTTCTATCGTTTCCAATCGGTGTTCCATTAGTCTAGTACTGACCATTCCACAGAGCTCCTAGATCGGAGCTCTGATACCAATTTGATACGAACCAACAGAGATATAACAAGGATTTAGTAAAAGAAGAACAAACCCAGCTTTATATATAAAATGCTTCCATAAATGTATTACAGAAAGATAACTACAAATACCCAAGCAACTCCAAACTTACTACTGAGGCAAATTGGATAACAATTCCAATTAAACTCCTCTTACAACAATAAACTCAGCGATAAGGGAAATCAGCAATGCAAAATAAGAAAGATAGTTGTGAAGCAGTTGGAGAGGCTCCACTCTCTCCCAAGGAATCAATTCCACTCTCTAAATTCTGGATATCCATTCCCTTTCTTCCTCCACGTTATTTATCCATGCTTCACCCACGTTCTCTTGCGTTCCCATAATCGGTTGTAACAAACTTGCTGAGTCAGCAACACTTTTGCTACTTGGGCTATCAACATTGGAAACCTTGCTACTTGGGCTTGGGTCAGCAGCCCAAATTCTTCTATGCTTGTCTCTTTTGTATACCTTGTTGGGTTTGGAGTGGGTTGTATCAGGAACATACCTCAAATTTGCAAATTTTCCAAATTTGAGTGCATAAAGGGTATGAATTTGCAAACCTTTGTCTAGTGGATCCTAATCATGCTTTGGGTTGAATATTTACAATTTTGGAAACTAAGTAAAGAAAATTTAAAAGTTTTATTTTTAATCCAAATAGATTTTTAAGATTTGGTTTTTGATTTGAAAAAGAAAAAGTTAATTTGGGATTAATTTTCTTTTTAAAAGATTTGATTTGATTTTATCTATTTTTTGAAAGTTAATTTAAACATTTTGATTTTATTTTCAAAAAGATATTTTGGAAAGTTTTCATAAAAATCATGATAATCTTGATGTTTTTCTTAGTAATTGATTTTGAGAAAAAGTCTATAAATATCATACCTTGAGTCCTTTTTTTTTTTAGTATTTCTACTAACAGGTTCATCCTTTAGGACTAATCTGGTGAGGGGTTGAGAGCAATTAAGGACTCCCTCTCCCAACAGATGGGCTTTCCGGGTCTTGAACTTGCATTCTCCACCTTACGATGGCCTTGAGCTGCTACCACTCGGCCAACACCTTGTTGGTCATACCTTGAGTCCTTGTTTAAAGTGTGGGTGAGCATTCAAGAGAAAGAGGTTTTTGAGCATTCGAGAGAAAAAGCGCATTGAGCATATTGAATATTTCTTTTTAAGGTGTGTTCAAAATAATTTGGAACCAAGGCATGAGCAGATTTATTGAATTCACCACTTAGGTTTTATTTGTACCTATTTGCTTATTATTAAAAGCATGTAAGGTAAACAATTTGAATTGGATTTTTTTCTTGAACTTGAAAACAGTCGTGGCTTAGAAATAAGTAGCTCTTTATTCATTGCGAATAAAGACGGAAGTCGTTTGGTTTTAGAGAGTCTTTGATTAGACTCTATGAAAATCCTAGGGGTAGGGTTTCGGAAACCTTTGATAAGATTTCAGGTTAATTCTTGTACAAAGGTAGATTAAGTATCCAAATTGGGGTCGTGAGTTTTTTTTTCTCCGATTAGAGTTTTTTCCACGTTAACATAATTGTGTCACTTGTTTGTGTCTTTTTTTTTTATTGCAAAATTTTGATATTCATCCGAGACCAATACCACCCCACCAAACAATAACCTCATTGTTTTTGCCCATCATCCTTCGTTTATATAACATTCTTCTTCCGATCATCCTTCTAATATGGAACTTTGTATTCCATACTCACTCACATGTGAGTGTTTCACCTTATTTCATTTTATATTATTTTTTTTCATGTCGAGGGAATGACTTGTTATCCAACTACGTTGGAGAATCTCATGTGCGTGTTAAATACAAAGTCTCACATGACCTCAAGTGTGCAGCTCTCGTACTCTTCACTCTCATTCATACACCTTCAAGAGCCACCAACAGCCACCACTGGAGGAAGTTCATCAAAAGTTCATCAAAAGGACACCCACCAAGTCTCCAATCATACTTTTCAAATTCATACATAAACCCATCGCCATGACCAGCTAATGCAAATAGTCATATGAAGACAAAATGATTATGCAACAAATTGTATCGCATAAGAATGTAGGAAGCCAGTCAGTTCAACATATTGTGAATTCATGTAATTTATATAAGAGGCAGAGGACCAGTTTCAGATAAAAGTACAACATCTGTAGACCAAAATAGTGTACATGCCTAAACATTTTATAAAGAATTGATATACTAAAATCTGCATCACTAAGACATGAAACTCGATGGACGAGTTTAAGGAACAGTGACCTTTATAAGGGACACATGGCACTAGAAACCAACATGAACCTTAGTCAGCAACATGCTCAAGCCTCCCAGATTTACCACCTCCCACCCCATGCAACACCATGATATTTCTACCACTACAATATTTCCTATCTGTGTGTTATCAATGCCAGGCAGAAGCTGATATCAAATTTCTGTTCTTCCATCCTAACAACATGGCCCCATCCTTCTCCACCAGACTATAATGTTCTGAATAGCACCTCAGCAGGCTTCTTATAACCGAATTCACATAAGAACTCAAAGGATATTGATGGAAGCCAGCCATTGTGAACCTTGACTTCCACTTGCCAAACAGTTCATGCCGCTCTACCCTTTCCTTCCCTTCACAAGCAATAATGTTCACAATATCCCGGGCCAGACAATGTTGCTCCACATTAATCCGCTCCTTGCTCTTTCTTGGGAAAGTAACATCAATGGACTCAAATATTGCCAAGTAGTAATCCAGAGTTTCTATAAACCTGTTGAAGAAAGGAGTTGTATTTGTGTTTGATTCCTGCTCCACCAATGTAACTACCTTGGGAGAAAGTGATTTTACCATTCTTAGAAGTCCATCCCTTGGATTACTCACATCAACACTCTCATCAGCAGTATGATGGAGTTGCAGAGGAAAGTTCACAGCTAAAGCCTCTCCAGGCCTGACATCAAGCATGTCTCTTGTCACATCTGGTGCTAAAACTGGGACACCATGGAACTCAACTGGGATGCCAAATTTCTCAGAGATTACAGCCAATCTTTTCCCAACAGCATCTAGTCCATCACCACGAGCATATTTAGAAAGAGGGTCATCAATCCCCGTGATCCGTACATGTGGAGCCCCACCAGGTCTTGCTGCAAAAGCTTGAAGGAGAGTCATCCATTGAGTTCCCTGAGCAATCTGAAAGTCTATAATGTGAATGTGATCCTCATTTCTGCAAGCTTCAGCAATAGCCCCATTGGCAGCCATGTAACCAAATTTTAAGTATGGACAGATTTCATAGAGTATCTGCATGTAAGAGAGTAAGTCTTTGCCCATAGGCTCTCTGCACCTAAGGGCACGATAGATGTTATTCCCCGATGCCTCCTTCCTTGCAACAAGCCCTTCTACCAAATAAGCACCAAGCCGTTGGATTGGATCCCCACTTATAGATACAGCACTTCTAGCCTTTTCTATCAATTGATCAAAATCTTTCATTTCGTTGTCAGACAAAGCTTTGGCACATACAATAAGCAATTGTTTCAAATTGCTTGACGGGAAGCCTTGTAGTGATGTTTCCTCCATTGACTTGTGACGTTTCTCTACACGTGCAACTTCACTTGATTGCCTACTGCTAACAACATAAGATGGCTGACTTTGAATAGATTCTGACCCATTTCTTTGGCCAGATGTTGTTGGCCTGCTGCTACCACCTAAAGAAGTATTTGATGCAGTAGCTTCATCATCACGATCAGGCGCCATCAAAGCAGTTTCTAGTTCCAGCAATGTGTGTTTGGTTTTCTGGTCACAACTTGCATCCTGTGGAAGAGAGCTCCAAGCAGAATATAGATGTAAACCATCCTGGAGATGGTCTACAGATGGGACTGGCCTATGCAAATAATGACTGCTTTCAAGCAAAGAGTTACAAGAAGTATCAGAAAGAGTATCAGAATCAAAATGAGTTGAAAGGGCAGAATTAGGTGAGTTCCCTATGTCAAGTTTCAAGGACCCAAGTAGCCGGTGTGGTATCGGTGGAATAGTAGGATAAGAAGATGATGGGTAAGGTGTTCCTGCTGAATTAGTCACATTGAAACCAATAAACTGCTCGGAGTCCATACTTTGATGAAGGCATCAGCTACGCTATATCTACCCCTAGCAAATCTGAAAATCAGCCACCTTGGCAAATTTCTGCTTGATATTCTGCTTGGGACTTGTAACAAAACACTTTCAATAACAGCAGATAAACCTGGAAAAAACAGAGAAGCACTTTGTGAATATCTTCCTTACACCACAATCACATGTTCACTACAACAATCATCTAGCCCAACCAGTGGAGAAGCAAAAATGTGGAAGAAACACAACATACACAAATGCACTCTCACACACACACACATTGATATACAAAAAATAGATAAACTTGCATGGACTTAAAAAACCAAGCTGATTTACAAATCTAAGGCTACAGTTCTGGAAATTTGCAGATTTAATTCACCATTACTCTTTTGGTTCACAGAAATGAGTAGAGCAGAAATTTGGAATAAATGATTCAGCAGGTGGAAGAGAAAAATTAGAGCCAATATCATGTAAATGAAACTAATGAATTTGGAACTAAAATTTTTATGGGGAAAATGATAAAAATGATTCTTGGAACGTCTACGTTCAGTGTGGTAAATGCTTCCGCTCTACCCATTAGATTATTACATATGAATGATAACACAGGTTCACACACAGAGTCAAGAAAAACGGACTGACAATGATGAAAATTGTACATCATCATAATTTGTTCAAAAGGATGCAATTCCAAAACCAAAAGCCCTCCCATGTGATTTGTAAAACAAAAGAGGAAAACATTCCGGCAAAAACTTTCTTCACATCAAGAGAAAATCTTCTCATGGAATGGTATCCTCCAAAACGAAACAAAAATTTATAGCCTAACAATACTTATTTACTAATATGCATCAGGAGAAAAACACAGGACACCACATACATAGCAGATTTCAAGTGGAAAGAGAAAGGAAACAAATAATAACAATAATAGTAATAATAACAACAACAACAATACCAATTAAGTTACAATTCCTCATCGCGGACCCAAACCTTCAGTTTGAAATCAAGGGCTGTGACTGAACCATGTAATCAAAAGTTAAACCCTAACAGTGTTATTTATTGCTTATGGTATGTTGCAGTTGCCCAAACTCCCTGTTGGTGAGTTGCCTCATGGAAACAGCATATAAAAACACCAGGAAACCCCATCCTAATTCAAATCCCATTCATCAACCCTACCCAAACCAATTATTAAGTAAAAAATTTAAAATAAAAAAAAAAAAAAACTTTAATTCCGACCCAATATTTTGCCAAATTAGAGCAGCAAAAAAAAATGTTACTGGACTTCAATTAATGAAAGAACAATATGCAAAGTACATATCTTCTTTCAGAAAGCAAGAACCTCAAATCATCAAGGAGTACCATAAACATTCAAAAGCTAGAAAAATTGAGAAACAGTTCTCTATATCTAAACAAATGAGAAAAACATAACAGGGAAACAAAAAAGAAAAACAGAGAACATATACATAGATTGATTCAAGAGCAGGGCATGTCATGGGTATTCATTATTCATTGAATTAATTTCACAAACAACGACAGAGTGATAGAGAAAAATATAATGACAGGGAAATTAAGAGACATTGGTGTTAGTATTACCTCAAGAGAATAATCAAATTTAACGTCTACAAGTTGAAAAAGGACTTTGATTCTTTTGGTTTCGAGAAGGACGCGTGTTTAGCTCAAATTTGCTGAATTTTATTTTCTATTGATTATATACATATATTAATATTATGCACATGGTTTTCTTGAGGAAGGGGTTGTTTCAAAAACCAAAACTTTGAGAATGAGGTTGATTCAAAATGGTGTATATATAAAGAAAGGGAAGACAAGGGTGTTTGAAGTTTGACGAGTAGACTACTACGGAACGACAAACGGTAACGGTGAGGTGAGCGTGTCGTTGGTTCTTTTAACGGAGGTTAATTGGTTGACTCAACCGCCAAGACCGCCGACCAAACCACACGTTGGGAGTTGCTTCTGGAACTTCCCTGGCTACCTAGCTGGCTGACTAGTGACTACTGTCTCTTCCGGTCTAATTAAACTCTTCATCAACTCGGTTTATTTTGTCACTTGTTAAATTGAAATTGTGTGAGAAAATATATTTATTTTTTAATTTTAGTAAATTAAGATTACAATACGCTTTTAACTAAATTAAAAATATATAAACTTTAGCAATTTACTTTTGAAACAAAAACTTTTTTGAAAATAGTTTCTACTTCGATATAATATTTGTGTACACGAGACATGTGAACTCTTTTATAATAGTGTCAGAAAGATATAAAAAATATAAAATAATTAATTAAGTCTTACTTAATACCTTAAGATTTTAGATTAAAATAGTACTTATTATTGTATCAGAGCTGGAATGACCTTATCTGTTTTTACCAAATTGTGGTAGTTCAGTTGGCGCATGGGAGCTAAGCAGGTGGGGGTGAAAACATGTGTTCGAATTTCTCCAATACCACCTTTAAAAGGAGTTTAAAGCCTTAATCTTGGACTCGTCCCGAATCGGATTAATTGTGAAGCAATAAACAAATTGAAATATTTCTAAAAAAAAAAAGCTGAAATGACCAGAAAATTATGAATTTGATCTTCATTAATCCCACTTTTAAAGTGAAATTAAAAAAAAAAAACATAAAGTAGACAAAAAAAAATAGCGTGTGTCATATCCATTATTCAAATATAAAGAGTTCTTATACAAGGAGATGTATTAAAGAGATACAGAAAATACAAAATAATCAATAAAGTGTGATGTAACACCTTACATAGTAGTTCAATATAATGTATTCAAAACCAAACCCAACCGTGTACCCCGTCCTTGATTTCATAAGGTCTATATTGACGCTTTGACGACGATTATATTTATCCTCCGAAGTCAATTTGATTATGATCAACTAATGACTAATTCAACGAACTCACGATTCGTATAAAAAATTTATCTGATTTTAAAATATATTTTATTTAAGTTTTTTATATTTGGAAATTTATTTAAATATTAAATTAAATATTTGAATTTTATTTGAAATTAATATATTATAAATTAAAGTAAATATTTGTTTTATTTAAATTAAATTAGTTTCAAATATTCATTTTAATTCGAAATGTTACATATGAAATATTAGTTTCAAATATTCTTTTTTATTATTGTGCACAATTGTGTAAGATGGAATGTAAATATTAGATATATGAAAGATTGGATGGTGGTGCATAAATAAAGAAAATTAACTAATAAAATACTACGAGTTAATTTTTCATAGTACTGAGTAGTTGTTTTGCGTGAGATAAATATGTTATACAATAATTAAGAGCATGTTTGGAATATTATTTTAAGCTAAAAAGTATTTTTAAGCTAAAATTGAAAAATAAAACTAAAAACTAGTGATTGCATAAAGTTGTTCTGATGATTTTGAAGAAGTGAAGATAAAATAATTTATTATTAGAATGAATTATATATTAAGGTAAATGATAAAATTTATAAATATAAGATCAGAATAAAATACAACTATAAAAGAAATATGAGGGATCAAAAAATCTCACATATCTTTTTAAAAATAGCTTTTATTGGAAACTTTTAACTTTTAGCTTTTTTTATTATAAAGAAATTCTTTTTATAATAAAAACTTTTATAAAAACATACTTAGTTAAACTTCTAAGAAAAAAAAAGTTAAAAATAAGATATGTCAAACATGCATTTAGATCTCATGTGATTTCGGTATTTTCGAATGCTCGGGTGAAAATGTTAGGAATCAAATAAAAAATACAATGAGGGAAGAAAACAAAACAAAACAAAACAAAACAGCTACACTTGTATAGAAACCCCGACTAAATACTCTACCAAAACTTACAACAACAAACAGGTGGAACGGTGGAATTAACTGTTGGGTATGGCTCGTACTTCGCATGCTGATGAGGGTCCTAGTTGTCGGGATCAGCAGAAAGGCAACTGGAGTCCCGCTCCCAGGTGAGCGGACAAGGGTCCGGGGGGCAGCGCCCCTTGTCCTGTAGAGGCTAGGTACTGTTGTGGGCCTCTGTTTTATTGTAATTTTCTTAGCAGTTTGGGTTTGGGTCCATGAATAGCTGTTGTTAGGGTTTTCTAATTTTATTTATATTTTTCTTGTAAACCGAGTGACTTGTAACGAGTGGCGATGAGGTGAATATAGTACAGACAAGATGGACGTAGCCTAAATTGGGTGAACCAGGGTAAATCTCTGTGTCTATTCTCTCTCTCTCTCTCTCTCTCTCTCTCTCTCTCTCTCTTTTCTCTTTTCGTTTGCGATTTGTGTGATTGTCGATTTTCAATATTTGGTATCAAAAACTTTGGTTCTGTGACCGGGGTTCCTGTGACATATTGGGGTTTCGTGATTTGGGGTTTTTTCTTGGCATAGAGAAAACTGCGAAATTGATCTGGAGAGGATGTCGACTGGCCAATCACGGATCGAGGTTGAAAAGTTCTGAGGAAAAGGGTTCGAGCAATGGAAGCTGAAGATGGAGGCTTTGCTCGTTGACAGGGAGGTATAGTACGTGATCGAAGATGAGAAGCCATCGGTACCAACGAAACTTGTCGGTGATGTAATGTCAGGTGAAGGCAAGTCGAAGGAGTTGAAGGCGTGGACCAGAGACGATCGAATGATCTAGTTATGCCTGACAGATAACGTTCTGGTGAACGTAACTTCTGAGAAGACCGTGAAAGATCTCTGGACGAAGCTGGGAGGTCTCTATTAGAGCAAGTCACTCGTGAACAAGTTGTTCCTGCGAAGGAGGCTGTATAATCTGCGGATGAGCGAAGGTGATTCTTTCTCTGCTTATTTAAATGAATTTAATACTATTTGTGCGCAACTTTCTTCTATAGACATTATCCTATATGAGGAAGAAAAAGCTTGCACCTTGTTGTGTTCACTGCCCAACTCATGGGAGCACATCATTGTGTCAATTGGTACTAGTGTTAATAAACTATCGTTCGAGACGGTTGTTGCTGCCTTACTGTCTGAGGAGATGAGAAGGGTAGGTTCTGAAGGTACCAACAATGAGACTCTGGTTGTTAGAGGGAGGAGTGGTGACAAATCAAAGTGTGGTAACAGAGGTAGATCGAGGGGACAGTCAAAGTCCCGTGATAAATCTGATAAATATGAAATAAGGTGCTGGAGGTGCAAACAGGTTGGACATTTTAGAAGAAATTGCAGAAGCAAAAGCGTAGGTCCTAAGAAGCGGGATGATTCACAACCTTCTGCTTCGGGTACAAAGAAGGATGATGATGATAGTACAGGGGACTTGTACATGGCGTATGACAGTCATAGTGATTGCAATGACTGGATTATTGACACTAGAGCATCGTTTCATATGACACCTCATAGGGAGTGGTTCTGCACCTACGAATCATATTATGGCGGTACAGTTAGAATGGGAGATGACATGACTCATGCTATTGTGGGCCGTGGGAAGGTAAAGCTGAAGATGAGTGACGGGACAGTCAAGAATTTGCCAGGCGTGATGCATATTGCGGGGCTTACCAGAAATCTGATCTCCATTGGTAGCATGGCAGATGCTGGTACTAATTTCAGCAGTGACAAGTATTCTTGCAAGTTGAGTCGAGGAGCTTTGGTTATTGCAAGGGGAGAGCGCCATGGTAAATTGTGGAAATTGTTGGGTAGCACAGTATTCAGTGGAGAAAGCTATGTTTCAGAACAGGCGGATGAGGACACTGCTATATTATGGCATAGGAGGCTGGGGCATATTGGAGGAAAAGGTCTGTAGACTCTAACATCAAAGAAGCTGGTGGATGGAATTTCGAGCTGCTCTATGAGGTTTAGCTTTTTCGAGCATTGCCTGCAAGGGAAGCAAAATCGGGTATCTTTTGCTTCCATAGGAGGAAGAGCTGAGGGGATTCTGAACCTGATACACAGCGACGTGTTTGGCCCCACACCTGTAACATCACATGGGAAATCAAGGTATGATGTTTCTTTTACTGATGATTTTTCAAGATATGTGTGGTTATATTTCTTGCGCAGCAAGGATGAAGTGTTCGATAAGTTTCGCGAGTTTAAGGCTTCGGTGGAAAATCAATTTGATCGAAAAATCAAGGTGCTGAGAACTGACAATGGAGTTCAATAAAATTTGATCAGTTTTGCGTGAGCAATGGAATTGCAAGGCAGAAGATTACGCCCTACTCACCTCAACAGAATAGGGTGGCAGAGAGGTTGAGTCGATCTCTCATGGAGAAAGCACGAAGTATGCTGAGCGGTGCAAGCTTAGCAGCTGAGTTTTGGGCAGAGGCAGTGGCTACTGCTTGTTATATGAAGAACAGATCTCCTACATCGGCCTTGAAGGAGAAGACTCCGTATGAAGCACTGTTTGAAAAAAGGCCAGACGTATCTCATGTCAGAGTGTTTGGCTGTGAAGCATATATGCACGTGCCCAAGGAGAAAAGAAACAAGCTTGACAGTAAATCTGAAAAGTGTATCTTTATTGGGTACAAGGATGGCGACAAAAGTTATAAGTTGTGGAATCCGGATACTAGAAGTGTAACTTACAACAGAGATGTTGTATTCAGGGAATATAAGTTGAATCAAATTTTTCCTAA